ACCCTAACCCTAACCCTAACCCTAATCCTACCCCTAACCATATATCAGCTAGATAGTTACCAGGGTACGTTCCGGTATACCGGACCGTACCCAGGGTACGTTCCGGCAGTACCCTGGGGGACATAGACCCTATCAGCTGTGATTCTAGTTGCACTGCACCGGGTATCATGGCAACATGTGGTGGGGGGTTTTCATGAATGGCCGTAGCTATAGCTCAAGAATGCTGGTAAAGCAGTGGTAGGATCAGGGTTAAGCCAACAAGCACGCAATTTCGCGTTGAAAAGTAAATGTGTGCCACAGCTGTTGTTCATCTGGCATGCACTGTGTAGTGAAACCCAGATATTATGCTTTTAAACACACTCTGACTGTGTTTTGTTACTTGCTTTTCTCGTAGTGCCAACAGTTGTTTTTGGAGGCGTCTTGTGAAAAATAATAAAGAGCCGTAATTGTTGATATGCCGACATGGGTAACAGTTGGCGTAACCTCGTTGTGATATTCCCGTGCAACGAGCCTAACACACCGACTCAAACATGCAAACACACGCAGTGCGCACACGTACATGCACGTATGCATGCATCTACTCGCACTCGCACACATCTACACGAATAAAAATCCACAAACATTCTTTAATGGAATCTAAACCCGGATGGCTTTATGACACACTAAAGTGCTGGTTTCACAACATGTTGACCTGGCTTTTCAAGGTGGCCTTTGTTTTCATAAGCCTCGTAATGGTGTGGCACAAAACCAGGTTATAGCAGCTATGATGAAATACATGCAGACTTGAAACTAGATCTTACTGCCCGCTCCTTATAAGATCTACTTATGTGTACTAGGTTATTGGTCTGGCACTGGGTCACCAAGTGTTGTGTCTGCGTATGAATGTAAAAGGAGAACAACTCCTGCATGACCTGTGCAGTATATGCTACTAAAATATTTGACACCATTCGCTGATCCATTTCCGCACTGACCTACCACTGACTCAGCCATCTCTCACCCCTCTGTCACCACTCCCTTGCCTCTCCATCACCCTTCCTTAGTTACCTCGATCTTATCCTTCAGTTGCCCTTAGCTCACCTCTTTCTTACCTATTCCCCACCCCTCCTTTACCCATACCTCACTTCCTCCCACACCTCTGTCACCCCTTCTTCATCTCTCCCTCACTCATTTTTCGCCTATTCCTCACCCGCACGGCACACGATCGGTGAACGCGGGTAAGGGTAGATGATACTGCATTCTGAATTATCCAAGCATTTTGACGAGCGTCAACGTTAATAATTGAATAGGTTTTTGCAAGGGAAATTGTTCTGCCAAGCTGTGTTGCTTCCCACCGTACTGTATTTACACACCATCAACGTGAGTGTAGTAGTACTACAGAGCGATGCATGATGAATATAAATCGGATGTTGCGAGATTGTTTTGTAGTGTTGTTTGTGTATTTTTCCAGGCTGGCATGTACATGATACAGCTGATAGACAGCTACGCAGCCACTTGGTCCGTCCTCATCATAGGCTGGGTCGAATGTGTGGCCCTGTCCTGGGTCTATGGTAAGCACTGCTAAACACAGAGTATAGTACCCCTCTTCCTTCCTTCCTTATACCCTTTTCCTTTCTTCCCTTGCTTCCCGTATGAAAATCAATGCCAAACATCGATAATTGTGCATAGTGACATCGTTACTTCTGACCTTTGACCATGTTATTTCGACCTTTGAGCTCATCAGGGCAGCTGCTGTCTGACGTCTCTGTCCATTAACATTCTATCATGCATCTTCCCTGCCTACCTTCCACCATTTCTCTCCCTCTACACCTGTCGTACATTCATTTCTTCTTCTCCTACCTTCCTTCCTGCTTCTACTCCCTGCAGCCCGCACTTCAACCTACATCTTCCCCTCCCACCGATGTGATTGCTCGATGCAGTTGCGACTAGGGGACGTTGAGAGAGGCGCGACACTGGTATGTGTTGGCAGCCCATGATTCAGCGTGAACGTTGTGTTTGTGCGTACACAGGTGTGGATAACTTCCTGGAGAATATCTCACAGATGCTGGGTAAGGACATCTATCCGTACTGGTACTGGAAGATCGTCTGGAAGTTTGTCACGCCTGTCGTCATCATGGTAAGTAGAGGTGTAGCGAGAGAGAAGCTAGGGCCATCGCCCAACATGTGTGACTAAACTATATCACCTTACAGGGTAGACCCAGAACAAACAAGATGCTTGTTTTACACTGTGATGTCGAAAATTGACCTTGGTTAGTGTTAGGTTTGGTGAGAGTATGGCTAACAAGGATCGATAGCCGTTTGATCCATCGATACTTCAGTCTTTAGTAGGATCGGTTGAGCAGGACATGATGATTTGAACTTCAAACTGAAATAATTCAGTGAATCTTATGGAAACTGAAGTTTTAACTGTCGATCAGGGATGAGAGTGGGTGGATGGTAGAGTTACTAGCCGATTGTAAACAATAGCAGTCAAACACTGTAACGTGCAGGACATTTTTATGTGAAATCTGGCGCCCCTTCCCTCCGCGCTGCTCTCTTGGTAGTGTAAAATCATGTTCATTTCCACCGTAGGCTATAATGATGTTCACTTGGATGGATTTCTCACCGCTGGAGTACGGAGCGTACGACTACCCACCGTGGGCGGACGGGCTTGGCTGGGCCCTGTCGTTTACCTCGTGCGCCTGCATACCGATCGTCGCTATCTACAAGATATATCACGAACACGGATCGCTTATCACGGTGAGTCACCCAACACGGGTCGCTAGTGTATGGTCCAGTTATGGTGTCGGTCGTACGCGTACCACAGTCACCGTCCAGTCGTGGCGTCGGTCGTACGCGCACCACAGTCGCCACCGGTCACCATCCAGTCGTGGCGTCGGTCGTACGCGTACCACAGTCGCCGCCGGTCAACGTCCAGTCGTGGCGTCAGTCGTACCCATACCACAGTCGCCGCCGGTCACCGTCCAGTCGTGGCGTCGGTCGTACGCGTACCACAGTCGCCGCCGGTCACCGTCCAGTCGTGGCGTCGGTCGTACGCGTACCACAGTCGCCGCCGGTCACCGTCCGGTCGTACGCGCACCACAGTCGCCGCCGGTCACCGTCCAGTCATGGTGTCGTCCTCGGTGCCCGCGCTCACGGCTGCTCTCTTGTTTCAGCGGATACGCCGGCTCGCGAAGCCGTCGCGTACCTGGGGACCGGCGTTAGAGAAGCATCGGCGAGAGGTGAAGCACATGTACAAGGGTGTCATCGAGCCGGGCACGCACCGTCGCGTTCTCATCTCCGAGTCCGAGGTTCCGCTCGCGAAGAACACGAGTCGGTCGTACGACATCGCCGACGAGGCCGCGCATACGCATCGTCAGCAGCAGCAGCAGCACGACGCCAGGTCCGCCGCACTCGCCTCCGTCGAGACGTCAATGTGAGGCTGCCGGCGCCCCCTGCTGGCAGAGTGCTCGCCCCGCAGGGCATGTGTCTGCGAAGCGAGGGACTCTCGGACGACTTGCGATCGACGCCGAGGCTGAGGTTTGACATCGTGCTGTTCGGTCGCTTCTCTCCAGATGGATCGCCGGGTGATGGCGAATAGGTGCGGCGCGGCGCAGGTGTGAGGCACGCGAGAGCCGGATGGCTCTGCGACTGTGGCCAGATTTCAAACGCCCTGCTGTTGTAGTGCCTGCTGAACCTGCGTGTAGCAGTGCGTAGCTTGTACGCACATGCAAGATGGCTCCTGATCCCAACCCTGCAAGCACTGATAAGTTTGTTTTGTGGCAACATGAAACGTTTTACTGAGTTCCATGCAGACCATTATCACTCGTTATGCTGAAACGATTGGTATTGGGACTATTGATATTCTATGACAATACCAGGTGTAGCTATATCACATTAAACAATTATCTAGGTTGCAGAGGTATCCATTGTCCACTTCAAAGGCAGGGTTGATAAACGTTTTCATTACTCTTAGACGTGCTTTTGGTATTAGACTTCATCTCAAGTATTATGGGCCTGTTATCCCGTTTCATTGTTACGTATATTGTGCACCTATTTTATACGGTGGAAGCTAGGCAGTGGACCACTTTATCATTATTTCAGCCAGTTAGTTAAACGATATGGTAAATTGCACAATCTCATTACCATTTATGCTGACAGTACGAACACATTTGGAGCGAAACTAAACAGGAATCAGACGCACAGTGTGATGTGACGTCATGTTTAGTGGTTTACTTTAACCACGTGTTCTCAGGAATGTAGCAATGTACTTCAAAATGAATATTTGCTCGATTGATTGATGTTGTACTATGTTGTTACTCAGTATTATGTGCTAAAGTACTTCTATTACAAGTTTCGATGACTTAGCAATAGAGGCAAATGGATGAGCAAATAAGGTGTTGCTTATGTTCAAGAATCCGTTATGTGCCTATCATATGTGGATATTTAATGTTTTTGCCTTGTTCCTGTATTACTGGTCTCTTCAGTTGTTATGCAATGCAGTTGACATGTGTTTATTGCTCCTGGTGACGATATGTTTGTGTTCCTGTGTGACTGTGTCGTGATGCTTGTTTTCTGTTGCTGTGATTAAAATGAGTTATTTGGTTGGTTTCTTGTTCCGTACGCATGTTAGTGTGTGTGTGTGTGTGCGCGTGCGTGCCTGCCTGCGTGCGAGCGTACCTGTCTGTGTGCGTGCGTGCGAGCGTACCTGTCTGTGTGCGTGCGTGCGAGCGTATCTGAATGTGCTGTGATAGGCTGTTGGTTCTTGCATATTTCTATATGTTTCAACGTTTGTAAACGGTTCTTGGATATATATGCACTAATTATAGGGAAGTGTTCCCTTCATGGGTTATTACTATTAAAATGCAATGTCTTAAGCCATTGTCTATCTATAGCTTGCCAAATTTATACGAAATGCTCATAAATGCTGCCAATCGTCTGTTCTATATTAGTAAAATAATGTGTATAAAAATAAGTTTTAGTGCATACTGTTGCAGTACTGAATTTTAATTCGAGTCTGAATGATAATTTGGTTACTAGTTTGAAAGGACTATGAAAAGAAGTATTTTAGGCTGTCTGATGTAAACTCAGTTTAATTATAACAGTAAAAAATGTACAACAGACTATGACGACATATTTATGTATGAATGTTCATATATTGCATTTGCCAAATTTTTGTCTACTGATAATGCATACTTGCTGTTTTTATGCGATTTGTTTTGTAATATTGCAATCCAGGAAACTGTAGATATGAAATTACAAGTCAACGTTTTCCTTGTGTCGACCTTTTACTACATCAACTTTATCTTTTTGAAATAAATATATTGTAGGTTCATGGACATGGGCAAATAATAGCATTAAAACATAGAAATTGAAATTACACATTAATAGAAATAAAACATTAGCAAATTCAGTATAAGCAATACGCTTTAAAATTTTGCATCATCAAATTCGACATTCACATTAATTTTGTGATTGCTCAATTGTATTTTTTACCATGTTTCATATGGCAATATTTATTTCCATTGAAGATGGACTTTGCAACAAGTTTCATGTAGAAATGTACACGGTTAAAACCTGCATTTTCCTGCTTTATTCTAATTGAGTCGTTGAATCTCTCCATGTTTGTGAATTCTTCAACTATTTTTAAGCAGTGTAGACAAGGGTGAGTTTTCCCCTGTTATATTGCACTGTTTTCACACATTATATTAACTAAATTTTGGGAATGTAAAACGCGAATGGTCTTCCAAAGTAGCCAGGGTGCAATAATTGGTAGCATCTTTAATTAGAACATGCTGCATGTTATGTGTGTTTCCTAGCCAGTGGTTACCGTTGGTAAACGTGATGCTTCACAAACAGGATGCATTGCATCATTAAGCTTTTGTTAGAAGCATGAACACATATATATATATATATTACTAACATTAGATATATGTTCATGTCAGTAGTCATTGGTGTTGTACGCGAAGTTCATGTTGTTTGTGCGTATTCGTCACTCACTGCAGCTGGGCTTAATCTGTAAATAACACTTTGGTGACCGACTGTATATAAGTAAATTAAACGTTTAATATACTGTCATATTTACAGTGTTATTTAGCTAAGAGATTCGAAGACAAGCGTGTGCATGTACGTACGTAGCAGGGTGTAACACACAGGTCCACCACCATTACATGGCGTACTCTCGTGTTGCGAATACAGGGTTACAACCTTCCTCTGGAAGCTAGAGTCAAGTTTGTTCCAAGGTCATTTCAGGTTTTGTAAATGGAACCACGCCTATGTCTAGGTGTGTGTACGATAGATCCATTAAAATCACTCATTAATTTTAAATATCATTGGTTCAGTACATTGTAATTATGGTACCGCAAACTGCAAATGGGAGTACCTGTTTGCAGGATTTATGTCAACATATCGAAACGGATTGTAGCAGTTGCAGTAAAGCTGATGGCATTTTACGGATCTCGATTCATGGTTGTATGTGCTCAGGATTTATAATATTAGAGAGCGTAGGGATTATGATGCTGATATGAATAAACAAAAATATCATTTGGAGCAAGTTATAATTTACTTGTAAATTAGTTTCGACCATCTGGTAATAGACAAGATTCTCCACCTAGTGAGTAAATGTTAACCTTGTTACCTATAAAATGTTACCTAGTGAGTAGCTATTTATAAGCTAAAACCTGAAAATTTGCAATGTCATCATACCTAGTTATAAACCTATCATCTGGACTACTAATACTGAAAGACTATGCAAAAAAGAAATAGATTAGGCATAAAAAACCCTATACATAATTTTGTATTTGTTTATTAATCCTGCATCCATAAACATAACTGTTGCAATGTTTCTTGAATGAGTGAGTGCTCCTCGTGAGCAAATAAACATCAGGAATTGTCAGAGATAAATTACCATATACTACAACCAAGCTATTTCAGATATCACATTTTAATCATACTGTGCGTGCATACTGCCATTAGCACATGTGAATGTTTACAACTATGTGGCACATTTCTTACTGCTTTAAACGTCAAACACGACTAATTAACAATGTCTCACTTTAACGTGAATACATAACATTTACTTTAACTATACCAGCATCAAGAAGAAGATGCTGGCAGGTTGTAGTCGCCTATTGGATGGAGTAGTTAGGACTTCAAAATGTCCAGAGGTGGGTTGGTCATCCTCGGAGGTGGGTTCAAGTAGACAATGTTCTCCATTATCATCTACGTGAAAGCACAAAAGATCAACACCTATAAATATTTCAATGACAGTTGAACCAGTTGACAAGCAGGGTGGCCTGTCTATCTTACAATGAATTAAAATTAAGCGATGACACGATTTAGGCTTTCAGCACTAATTTCTGTTAATATTTCGTTTCATTATGCTGCATTGTAAAGGTGTAAAGCTATGTCTCCACACACGCGGCACGGCACAGCAAAACGCAGCGCCGTTGTGCTGAAAAAATAATGCATTGTGATTTAGCGCATTGTGTCTGAGCGCATTGTGTTCACTCTGGTTCAGTGATCAGAAATTATGCATACATTTGCTTGTTGTCCATTGGCTGATAGTGGTGTGAGCAGAACACGTCATAAAAAACAATCGCGTTGATTGGTTCAACTGTCTTTCACCGTACACAGCATCCGTCAAAAGTCAAACTCATGTGACTTTCGCCGTCACCATGAAACCGGGCAGGTGCTGTGCTGTGTCAGTGGCGACTGTGCCTCAAGATATAATAGATTTAAACTTTTCCGGTAGGGGTGAACGGCGCCGTTGCCGTGCGTGTGGAGACGGACCTTTAGAGTATGCCTCATCTCATCATCCGACAATAGCTAGTAGATTTCTCCTAGATACTTACATAGCCTACAGTTAGGGAGAAAGCCACGACAGAGCTTATAAGCTGCATGTTCATTTTTGATTGCCTCTTGGCATTTGCCACCGACCACGATCCCTTGGGCACAGGTAGATCATTGAGGGTGAGCAACGGACCATGGTGTTCACCAACGGCGCTCATCCTCCGCAAGCCCTGCCTACCTGAAAGTGAACATAAGCAAAACAATTGTCACCATTGGCATTAGTGTTAGGAATAGGACATTATGACAGTGACAATCAGTCTCCAACAAACGCTATACCCCTATAACTAAAACATACGCCCATAAATGTTCGTAACACTAACAGAGTAGTACCACTACCGGTGCCGTGACAGTATCTTGCGATATTTCTGATGAACGAAGATTATTTGCAAACTTCAAACGGCCATTTTTGGTGGTGCTGCAGCAGCGGGAACTATGTATTTCCGTTCACAAAAATGGCCATTTAAAGTTTGCAAATAATGTTCGTTCACCAGAAATATCGCAAGTAGACCATTGCAACGATAGTTAGAGGTTAATTTTTTGTAGCTGATATAACTTAAGACATATTCACTTTGGATCTAGAGGCATTAATTGTCTACCACAGACGTTATATAGGCTCGAGTCGTCGCAAGTAAGTTGGTCCTGCGCATCCGTAATGGCTGGTCCTATAGCCCAGCGGCAACTGTACGCAGGCTATAGTTACTAGAGCTAGTTTCATACCTGCTCGGCTATCTTGGGCCAAAACTAAATATAGGTGTGGTTACGGTTTCCCGACCATCTCTATTTATTCCCAGCGACCCTAAACATTTTGTCAATTTTCTTTAAAGTAAAAAAAAAAAATATTATGAATTGACAGTTCCTGCTTCAAAAGGCACAACGCACATCTTTCGGACATAGTTGTAAATAAATATATTTCAAGAAAATAAAATGTTTTCCCTACTACCTACCCCTATTTTTTCAGCATGTAACGGTAATCACACATATATTTTGTTTTGGCCTTATAAGTTATGTATGCGTATCATAGTACTAGTACTATAGAGTATAGGCTATAGTGACATTAGTCTCGCAGCCTAGTTGGCCTAGCAACCACCTAATAGCTGGCTACAATGCACCAACAAAGTTTAGGTGTACCTGACAGTGTAACTGTTAGTGACAGTGTCGGTGTGCATATTTCTAATGACTACAGCAACGACTAGCCGTGCCACTTTCTATTTTTACTTTTTACTTTCGGAGTGGCTGGAGGTACAGCAGCCGTATAACCAATTTACGAGGCTGCAGGTACGGCAGTCCATTTGCGCATGTGTCACATTCCCACAAAATAATGCCGTTGGAAATTAATTCACGATTTAAGAGTTTTGATGAGCTAGAAAACTCTCGGATTAAAGGCTCACAATGCGCATCCAAACGCTAATTTCTCCAGTACTAGACTAGCAAAAAATTTATACTTGTGTCATGCATAATCACACTACCTTATGACAAAATAAACTCTAGTTGCTCCCATTCACTGCGCGTTTGCTTAAAACCCACAAGAAAGAGGTGAGAAAACGCCGCCTGTTTGCCAACAAAATAGGCCTCGGAAGTGGTGACGTGACGTCAGTGAAAAAAATACACGGGGGCTCGGGGCGATTTAGCCCCCGAATGCCAAAAGAGCCCCGGAAATGCCAAAAAGAGCCCCGTAAATTTGCATGATAGTTCAATGCAACCAATTTTAGAGTGCTATTTTCATGCACGCGAGCTTGAAAAGTAGCCCCCCGAAAAATAAATTCTTCCCTGCGTGACGTCACATGTTTTTCTTTGCTGCGCCCGTACCGCTGTACCGCAGCACCGCTGCACGGTTGCTTGGGATTGGGGAAACTGTCAACAACATCGAGAATTTCAACAACATTGGAGGTATTTTCAAATACCTTTTATAAGACAACACGCAGGAGAATGGGAGGAACTAGAGTTTATTTTGCATAAGGTAGTATGATTATGCATGACACGAAGTATTTGCTAGTCTAGTACTGGAGAAATTAGCGTTTGGATGCGCATTGTGAGCCTTTAAGTATGAAAATGAACTTATTGTGACAGCTAGCCTACNGCTAATGAAAATTGATTCTGGCTAATTGTTTGGCTACAGAAAAAAAAATCCTAGCTAGGGCCCTGAGAAACTATATGTTATTTTTACTGATTTCTCCGTATCTTTCCTTGGAATTTTCATCGTCTTTCAATGCCTTTCCGTAGATTTTTCTGCGTGATTATTATTTTGCGCAGGCACTCATTTTGGAAATCTTCCAAGATTTTTACTTCTTCCTTAGTTAAGTTAGTCCATGTTTCACTGTTATTTAGGAAGGAAGGTAAAACTGTGCATTCGTATAATTTCACTCTTGCTTCTATAGTATGATTTCCATAATTTTGCACTTCTGCCCATGATAATAATATTATTTTGCTCATCATGAAACGGCTCGTCATGAAACGGCTCATCATCAACATCTTTCAGTTCGGACTCATCATATCGTTATAACCTCCTATATCATTAATTAAATCCCCTAGGTATGAATATTTGGTGCATTTTTTGATTACCTGGTTGCTTATTGGCTTGGTTGCCTATTGCCTTGGTTGCCTTGGTCTTCTTCTCTATCCTTTCTTTGTTTGTGAATTTTATAACCATTGTGTTTGTTTTGTTCATATTAAATTCTAATCTTTTTGATTCAGCTAATCTGGAGCATGACTGAGCGATTTTTGTTACTGTTTTATAATCTCCAATTCCTAGAATATCGTTCATATATAATCATTGTCAGTGCTCGAAATAAGGGAAAAAATGTGGTTGTCCACCAGGCATCAAGTCCGCAACAATTTCTGGTTGTCCCAAAAAAATATCCCCAAATCTCCTATTTGCAATCACATAATAATATGGTCAGAAAACACCCAAAAACAGTGGTGTAGCCAGGATTTTTTAACAAGGGTGGCCAAAAAAAAATAATGCGCAAAATAGTGGCTGACTTAATATTTTAATGGCTCCTCCGCCTCCCTCTCCACACCCTACGGCTCCTCCGCCTCCCTCTCCACACCCTACGGCTCCTCTACCTTCTCTGCAATCTTTGTTTTGGGTGCCATGTGAATAGGCGACATTTTTGTTCATTGTTCTCTGCTCCCAAGATATGTAATTGTTCAGTGGCGGGTCTGGGATTCTAAGGAGAGGGTGAAAAACAAGCGGGGGGGGGGTATGGGGGTCCTCCCCCAGAAATTTTTTAAAATGTAGATTGCAGGAGATAGTATTTGCAGCACTTTTGAGTACATGTACAGCCTTCATTCTGACTACGACAATTCTCTCTTTTTTAACTTTCGGATCAACATGAATCTCTACTGCATGTTGTTTGTTTTGCATGGGCAAAGCCATCGGAAAATTCAAAATAATAATGGAATAAAAATACCAAAATGTAGGGGTGAACTTGCTGGTTTGCTGGTTCCAAATCGAGTTCACCTCTCATAAATCAGAAAATCTGACATATACCAGTGTTGGAAATAGCAGCTGGTATGCGTCGCTTTACCACACCATAGATTAATGGCGGGCCGCCAGGCTATAAGTGCTTTTGGAGAACCACTGAGAAAAACATAAGTAAAGTACGTTTTTTCGTCAACTTTTTTCTTGGTTGTCCACCGGACAATGTCTCAGACTGGTTAGGTTGTCCGGCACAAATTCTGGTTGTCTCGGACAACCGGACAACGCTTATTTCGAGCACTGATTGTCATCTTCTAAAACTACAGACCATCCGCTGACTGCTGTGGAGACGTGCGCCGGGCCTCGAATTTGGCGCACGTCTCCACTGCAGACAGCGCTTCATACTTGAACATCCCCGCGGTCGCGTGCGCATATCCCGCGGAACTGCGCGTCTCATCCGCGTGCAGCGCTTAGGATCAACAGCAAAGCTGTGCCACGCAATCTTGTATCATGTCTCTCTGGATTCCTGCCACTTCAACTTCAAGTTCTACCACTGTCACTGAGGCTCATAGGGTCTATGTCCCCCAGGGTACTGCCGGAACGTACCCTGGGTACGGTCTGGTATACCGGAACGTACCCTGGTAACTATCTGATATGGTTAGGGTTAGGGAGTAGACGTAGGCAACTCCCTAGTCTCGTTAGTGGAGTAGGCGAGGTACGGTCCAGCATATTAGATAGTACCAGCAGAGCATATAAATCACGTTGATTTATATGCTCTGGTACCAGGGTACGTTCCGGTATACCGGAACGTACCATGGTACTATCTAATATGCCGGACCGTACCTCGCATACTCCACTAACGAGTCTAGGGAGTCGCCTACTCCCTAACCCGAACCCTAACCATATCAAATAGTTACCAGGGTACGTTCCGGTATACCGGACCGTACCCAGGGTACGTTCCGGCAGTACCCTGGGGGACATAGACCCTATGAGCGTCACTGAGAAGTACTAGTAGTAGTTGGTAAGTGCGTGTAAGGCTATAATTAGGTACAATAATGTAACCCAACAAGAGTAGGGGTTACATCCCTACTCTTGTTGGGTTACATTATTGTATCTAGGCTATGATATACGTGTGTACTGGTAGTACTAAGCCACCCGGCACCCAATCGGCAAAAAACAAACCCCTATAGTATCTATCATTGAGTGTATACAATACATTTGGTTGCCTTTTCTATTATAGTGGTCTGCGTGGCACAGCCACAGATGCCGAAACCACACTCCACAGTCATGAAAGTTAACCCACTGCATCTGCAGACTGCACTGTGTCCGGGTATACATGTAAGTAATGACTACTAATGTATTGCTTTTCTGACCATGTAACATTTATTATGCTACAGCCTACAGTACATAACTAGAAAGAAGGCACTCGGGAGAGCGAATCCTCCGCACACATGATCACTACACCTGTGATATCAGAATGCTATATTCTACAGCGCAGTGAAATAAATAGATATCAGACCACACTCTGGCACACACAACATGCCTGGAAATACTGCCTGGAACCCCCGCCCCGCGTTAGCAATGGTACGGTCCTTCTGCTATGACCCAGCGTTAATTGGTTCTATACTTATCCTGTGGTTGAAGTGTAGCTCTATAGAGATCAGTGTTAGAAATATACTTAATGACCCTGTGACCTTGACCTTGGGTCAAGGTCACTCAGAATCGATAGGGTTCTACCGCCCCATAAAATGTACCTGTGGACCATGTTGGTAGTTTCTACCTCTCACGGTTGCAAAGATGTCAAGCGGACAGACATGCACACGCACACACACACACAAACGAGCCAAAAACAATACCCTCTGCTACACTTCATGTGGAGGATAACTACATGTATGCAGAATCATGTCGAGCACAGGCAGCGAAAAAATACACGGGGCCTGGGGCAACAGGACGATTTGGTCTCGTACCCTAACTCAGTCACCGTGAAATTAGAGTGAAAAGAAAAGGGGAAAACTATACATAATTGCAAGGGTGAATATAGTAGCTCTAGAACTAAAGCCCTTTGCTCTGCCACAGGCACCTGTGGAAGAGCGAAGGGCTGTAGTTCTTGTCTTCTAGAGCTAGGGTGAATAATAACAAATATATGACAAATATTGTTATTATATGCCCCAGATAATTGCACACCCTAATATTTTTACATAATTTTTACAAGGATAAAGGTTTGATCATGTATGAAGGGGAATCATGTTAAGAGTGCATAGTGGCAAGGTGTATAAAATAAAAAAAGAAGTAAAATGTAAAGTAAAAAAGTAAAGAAGTAGACATAAAATAGACCATGGCAACAATCACGCAACATGGGCCTGCTTGCAGAGTGTGTGACATGTATCGTTTTCACATCTTCTATAGTTGATGTTCGTCTGATGTGCTAATAGTAATACCATCTTGTTACATCATGTCCTAGTATGTATACAGTGCATATCAAGAATATTATCTCATCTTATAGCACCTGAAAACCAACATGTGTCGAGGTATCACTTGATTTACCCATATCTGGAGCATCGTGACATTTTGTATAATAGCATAATCATTTCTCTAGTATTTTTTTCTCATGGAACTGATACTAAATTTTACAAATAAAATTATTAAGATTTATATTCTTGTGTTTTAGTTGACATGTCAAGAACAGTTGGTGACAGAGTGGTCCACACAAACTCTTTTACACAAGATGTTAAGAAAAATTGGACAAACAAGTTGGTATGTAATGAATAAAAGTGGTAACTTCTAATTGGTTAATTATTGACTGCAGCTGTTAAAGCTGGTCCCACTAACAATAGACCCAATTCAATCTAGTTTCCAGTAATCAGAGTACTTTCTCTTGTAACAGGCAGTATTGTTAGACTTGTTCCACATTTTTTTATTTAAAAAACAACCAGGAATTGGTCCAATCAGTAGGTGACCATGCTGTAAGTACCAATAACAACATGCAACATTCCTTTAATACATTTCAGTTAATTATAAATAAGTTTTTACATTTTAAATAGTGAAATTTGTAGTAACGATTTTCATTTCTCTTTGCAGCAAAGTATAGAAATGGGAAAAGATTTCCGTGTTAATATTGGCGATGTTATCCAAGACAATGGTGGCACCAGGTGGCAGCTGCTTTCCATCAGAGGTCAAGGCACGTGCTGTTGTTTGTATAAGGCACAATGTATTGGTGATCCAAGGAGTGTGGTAAGTGAGAGAATCTTTAAAAATATTTTGGCAATCATATTATATGCTTAAAAGAGTATTCTTCCGATTTACGGATTAATTTCTATGATATTTAGTTTAGTTATTATTGAGAATGCTCCTGCACAATGCTTATGCATACACCTGCATGAAGTCTGGAACTAGTATCGCCAAGCTTGATCTGCAAGCATCATGTACCAATGAAGTTTGCAGCCTCACCTGATTAGATAAATACAATTAATCTTCACATATTTTTACAGGTGGCTGTAAAAGTCTTTAGGCCAGGAGATAACTTTGCACTGGCATGTGAAAAAGAATGGGATATACTACAGATTCCTACAATGCAGCAGTGCAGACAAAGTGGTGGGTTCAGGGTTTCCTACTAATGAGGTGGTGACCATTAACTAATGTTTGACCACATCTTAGTTTTTGTTTTTTTAAAGTTCTTTTGATTATCATTAATAGGTTCTATACCGAGTAACCTCTTTAACAGTGGTCAGATGATTAGTGAGTGTCTCTTTGCTGCAGTGCGAGTGTTGGACCGGTTCACGTGGAACGGTCACCCGTGTCTCATGGAGGAGCTCCTGGATGCCAGCGTTAAGGAGACGATGCACCAGGCGCCCGGTGGCCGGCTGCCGCTCTTCACAATCCAGCTGTTTCTGCGCAACCTGCTAGGGTGAGTTCTAACTGCCACGCAGCATTTGCCATAAGAGATGCTTCTCATTCCCTGTGCAAATGAATATTTTTTTCGCATACCGGATGTATTGTTCGCAGTAGTATAGAGAGGTTCTTGCTAATCCAAAACGTAAAATGCTATCCTGTATAATATGTAGTAGTCCCGACTTTATATAGTGAAGCTTGGGTAAATGTGTGCATGCTTAAACGACATGTCTTTGAAAAGTGATACTTATGCACCCTTATGTGTTCAATGCTTAGTTGGGGCCACCGCTTAATTGGGGCATTTTCATGGTTCCTGACCTGACCTGATAAAGGGGTAACTATTGCACCTTGGCGGTACTAGTTCCAGGACTAGGTAAAGATAAGTGCAAATGCTGCTGATAAGTGTTTGGACAACATAGAAGAGATGTCAGAATTCGTGCCAATGTCCCAATGATCTGTGTCAATAGTCATCAAGTTAATGATAAATATCTAAGATTTGAATGATGGCTGATCCATGTCATATGTCACTATATTGATGGCTCATGGCACAGCCATGTGCTGATGACACCTATATATTTTATCTATGGTGCAGGGTCCTAGAGCACCTGCACAGTGCCGGCATTGTACATGGCGACATCAAACCAGCCAATCTGCTGTGGTCCCCAGAACAAGGTGCTCTCAAACTCATCGATTTCGGGCTTTCCTTCTTCGACCATAGACCTGTAAGTGAACGATGTTTGATGTTAGATGCTTAGATTGATAATAACTGCGGCCACAGTTAAAGCCATGAATTGCAGACTAGCATTTAGGTCCAGAAATTTTACTGACGATTTTTGGTATGGAATGCGTAGCCAAGATATGCCAAGTCATTCAATCCGTGAGCTAACAAAATTTTCATTGCTGCTGATTCATTGCTGACTGTTATTCGTCGTCATTTGTGGATTTCTTTTGCGAGTGATGCGGCTTGTCTTGGTTCTATGTAGGACATGAGATACCTGCAGAGTCCTGGCTACAGGTCACCCGAGACGACCACCTGGAACAACTCTCACGCGCAGCAGGGAGAGGCCTGCTCTGCTACCCTCTGGTCGGCAGCAGACATATGGTCCGTCGGGTGCATCGCCATGGAGATCGTCAGTGGAGAGAAGCTGTTTTCAAGTAAACGGGGCGACGCAGAGCCAACCGTCTGCCCCAGCTGTCAGGTAGCCAACTCAGGAGAGGGTAGGGATAGGGACGACAATGATACGAATGGGAGGCGTTAGAGCCCTGTAGGTAGCAGTAAATGTTATAGGGACTAGTAAATTTATTCATGTTCATGCCTATATAAATCATGCCATTTTACCAATAATAACCCCACTAAATAGCCCATCTCAGCATTGCAATTATAATTCTGATATTTCCTGATGGGTTGAAGCTCCATAACATTCTATTTTAATGCAGATGGATACAAAATTATTTTGTTGAGACTCGGCAGGTGAGATAGTGTTGCCTAGAACTGTCAACGAACAAAATACATCATGTTGGAGAAGGCCGTTTCACAATGTCGTATAGCAGGATTAAAAACATTGTGACTACTGTACTTACTCGCGTTGCCCGTAGGTTCCATTGTCAGTGAGTTCTGTTACAATCTGTTTTTCTTGCCTGCAGGGTTCACCCACCGCTCGTTGCCAATACAATCAACTAATCGACCAGTGGTTTGATAGATTGGCTCCAACTGTGATAGGTCCTGCACCAAGTTATTATGATTACGTACTATTTTCCGAGTTAAAAGATTTTATATCCAGGTGCGTATCTGCATTTAATGGTGTAAAAAAAATTCTGCGCTTTAAAGCGTGTATTGCGAGAATTTTCTAGTGTTTTCCCCACTTTCATGATACCTACCGTTATTGCTTGAGTAACAGCAATTGTCTAGAGTAACAATAAAATGTCTTAGAACCTTTGTATTCACCGAAAACTGCCAGTTTCGAACTAATCGTTTTTGTAAACATTCATTTTCTGTCATCTTGAACTAACAGGAATTATGGATTAGCTTGTGGCGCCACCGCTTATCTTCCATACCCACAGTACAGGCACGCACTTGTTTTCAATTCATCACCGACACAAATACAAGTTTACCAATTCTGCCATTAGGCATAGTCGCGACACGATTAAATGCATTGCTGTTACGATGTGTTCATATCCAATTTTCTATGCTATAACTGCATAAAATCTTAGTATTTTTAATGTTGGTGTAATCAGTGATGTTTTCGCTGTCAGGTGTAACTATATTCAGCTATATTTAGTTTTTCTGAGCAAAAATCTCGCAATGCACTCTTTAACTCGTGGTCTAGTCATTAACAGTAATTTTGATGCTAATAATATTTTGAGAACATCAGAAAATTCCTGCCCTTGTGAAATAACCAATTATTAAGTTGAAGCAAATATGTAGTCGATAATTCCTAACTATTTAAACACCACTCACTTCCACTGATCATAATGGATCGCCCCCAAATCATAAAAATCATGAAAAATAATGGTGATCGCCCCCCCCAAAAAGGCATTTTTAGGGTGGGAAATAGTTGACATTCACACCACCTGTGATGATCTTTGATATCCCTTTGTTTGTGCTAATGTGCTTGATGCTTTCAGATGTCTTGTCTGTCACTCTAGTCAGAGGGATTCAGCTAGCCAGCTACGCCAGCATTCTCTGCTGAACAGGCTGATAGGTTCGTGTCACACATAGCGTAATAATTATTAATGGTGGAAGTGTTACAATACCTTACCAATATAATTACCAACATTATTACTATCATTTAAAAAATTTAAAATAATGCATGAATGCACACACAGCGATATGTGCATATGAACATGCAGATGAAGTAACGCCCACACGCTCGGGCACGCACACGCAAGCGTGCACGCACGCTCACTCACTCTCACACGCACATGCAAGCACACGGGCGCGCATGCACGCTCACTCACTCACGCGCACATGCAAATGTCAGAATGAGCATACGTATGTACCTGTGTATATGTATGTATGTACAACATATACATTTAATCATGCAAAAGTGACTGAAGTGTTGTTGCAGCATTATTTTACTCTGTCAATACTGTTGTTGTTGTTGTTGTTGTTGTTGCAATAGTTGTTACACGGCTGCACCTAGTTACAAGCTTCAGTGAGCCCCACCCACTTCTGGGGCGTAATGATTAAGGATCCAATGTAGAGTTATTAATGTAGATGTGTTTAAATTTTTGAGTTTCTTGCGCAGTGCCTTCTATCCATGACATGATGCTGCTTCCTTCGCCCATCCTCAGGCTGGAAAATGTTGCAGATGATATAGATCTGGATAATCCTGCTTATAGAGAAGGTATAATGGTCAATGTGAAAGGCAGGTGGTTGCATGTTTGAGGGGATATCAATGCGGCATTAAAGAAGTGAAGGCGGTTATGTCACTGATGGGAAGGTATATTTTATGAAAGCAGAAAATTCATAAACAAAAAGATGAGTGATGTACAGATGGTAAAATGTTGGGGGAACATTGGAGTCTATACAGTACTAAATAGTAATTGTACGCTTGATTGTAATTATTATATATATACACTATTTATGGGCATGCTTGTAATGATATAACGGTAATATAAACTTTAAAAAAGTAGAAAGCTCTTAACAAAGGTTTTCCTAAACGTTTTGCAGGTATCAAGTTTAGTATATTGGAAATATGTGCTAGCTTCGGACCAGTTGTTACATGCCTGCTGCCAACCTTGGAGCCTGTAAGGGGAAGGGTAATGCCAATCTTAAAATCCTTAGAATCCCAAAGGATGACTAGACCTCAGAATCTTTTGTGGTTAAATTTTATTGTCTACTTATTCAAGATATGCTCTTCTATTGCTCAGTATCATTGAGAGATAAATGAAAGGCTGATTTGAACATTGTCGGTGTTAGCTACAAATGATGCCCTTGTGCAGAATTACACATGTTGACATTGGTTTATACAAATTCTTAGTGGTGTGCTGCTCATGGTTATTGTGACTGTGATAAATAAAATTTTGACCAAATAAGCTGCATTGTTTAAGCACATTATTTCGATCAGCAGCATTTTTACTAGTTTTGTTGCTTTTTTCTTCTCTAGGTGTACGTGGAATTCCAGAGGAGCGAAGATTGCACGAGGGCTGTCAGAAAGCTACCAGGAATGACATTCAACAACAGGACACTTGTCACTGCATATCTGCCGTTAAGTCTATGGGCATGCAGGCAGTTGCTGTAATGTATGTACATCAATGGCACACCGAGATGGGCAAAGTACTGCTGATGACATGAAGATTGGAATCACAATATCTAAGTGAGTGGTATCCACTTACTTTCCAATGAGCTTTTCAACAGTTATCGTTTCTACTTTGACTGCTTCCCGAAAGTAGTGAACCCTCATTAGTACAGTACTTCAGGGATGAGATATTTTATTTACAGAGTGGCAAATGTGAGCGGCTCTACAGCTTACAATCATTATGACAGGAACGTTCTTATACCGGGACAGATGTGAACCGAGAGCTCTTTCAACTCTCTGTTGCTATACTCAGGTATATAGTGTTTTCCTTTTTTTAACCTATCTCTGATTATGAATTTCCAGCAGGTAGTGTTCGTCATTGTTATTGCTTTATGCTTTCATTGCTTGTGTTTTTATATCAACCATCTATCGGTACAGTGGCATAGAAGGCGAAATATCAATAAACGTGCTGTTTGTTTGCTGTACTACTTTAATGTAGTGGTGTGGATGCACATATCCTAGTTATCATTGGGTGAACATTTTCACCAGTAACCTTGCAACCATTAGGAAATAATTGTGTAGACATCGTTGAAATGCCCTCGCTGTCTGCTATCGTAGCATGCCAGTCTGTGCCTGGTAAATTCGAGGGACATTATATATACTCTGAATTCTAAACTAGTTTTGTCGCAAGTTTTGTTTGTGCTTATTGCTACCGAAAGATGGCAGCACATGGTGTAAGTGAGCAGTGGTTTCCCCATCACGTAAGTGTAATATAACGAACGCTTCACGCGAATGTTTATTGATACAAAAGGACTCCACCCCGTGCTAGCTAACGCCGTGTTATGCATGTTTCAACCACTGCTGTAGCGACCTAGGTGCAGCAGATGCAATATAACAAATGTGTTATATTGCTTTTTGATCCATGTATATTGTCATATGTTGTAGTAGTGCAGGCAACATGGTAATAATAGCTGCAGCTGTTATTAATACTGTATTTGATCCACTATGCCATCCAACAGGCTGACAGTGCAGGTGGGAAAATAACCACATTACTGCCAAAACTATCGACTATCAAGATTCAGCCTTTTTTACCATATAGCAAATTTACACAAGATATGTGCACACACCTACTTATACACATACACCTACATAACCTACTACATACTGTTACTACTATGCCTATCTAAGTCCCAGTTCTATTCCCACGACACCATTATATATAGTTAAAAGTAAAAGAGGCATTCAAAGTATCATCTGTCAGATAATATATCTGTCTATCATTTTCCTAGTCGTGGAATTGCAAACTCACGTGATAGGTTCTAAGATGTTGATTAGACCGTAAACGTTTTGAATGTTTGACGTATGCTTTGCAAATCAGATATATTGCAGTGGAATGTTGCGATCAGTTGCTTTGGTTGGGATTTGTAATGTGTTCCCTTAATTGGGTCTTGCAAGTAGACGTTGTGATTGGATGCTGTGATAGGATGCTTTGATCGGTTGTAATATAAATTTCATGGTTGGATGCTGTGATCAGGTGTTGCCAAATGTGTTCATCTGTGAACTTTTGCTACTATTCAACGTAGCAAGACTGTTAATACTAGATGTCTAGACTCTAGTGTTACTGCTTGTAATTGCTAGCTGTCGTCAGGATTGTGTAGCGTTAATTTATTCGTGTCCATATTTTTTCTTGGGTTTCGGATTTTTCTTTTTTTGTACACCGTTATTTATTCCAGATCAGTCGTAAATTACTTTCCATGATGATTTTGAGGCGCCGTTTTGATCAATAGACACGCGTGCAGTCACGGTATGAATTTGTGTGTACCGTTTTGTTTCCGAAATATAGATGAACTTATATCCTTAACTATTGATTCATAATCAGATATGATTCGCTAATGTTGCTTTCCACATGTGATAGGCTGGAGTGACTCGAAACGGTGTTCATTGCATTATGATACGTTACTGTCATAACAGGACGGCTTTTGATCTAATGAGAGAGAAAAGCACCAATAGAGATGTGGGGGAGAGTAAACGAAAAATTACTCCTGCAAATAGAAAAGCGTGCACAAGTGATACTTCACACAGCAGATAAATTCGTCATCTTATACTGGTCGAAACAGCGTTCTGAGAAATCATTTATTTTCGTAGCACGAGGAAATTTGTCATTCATTTGAGCAGATGGAGAATCTGCTTGTCTGACACAGAAAGGGGCGACCGTATCCGCAAGACAGTGAAGAAATATCCCGAAAATTACGTCTGACGACGTTCCAACAGGCTAACCTAAAAATCTATCTAGCGTGGAAACTGTATCTGTCGTACCTTCCTACTAACAGAAAAACGGACTATCATAGAAAACGTACATGTTGTTCCTTCGATCGAACAGAAAAACCTGTCTATCATGAACACTGCGTCTCCCGTTCCTACAACATATAACGGTAAATCTGTCTATCGTGAAAACTGCGTCTCTCGTTCCCACAACATATAACTGTAAATCTGTCTATCACGAAAACTGCGTCTCTCGTTCCCACAACATATAACTGTAAATCTGTCTATCACGAAAACTGCGTCTCTCGTTCCCACAACATATAACTGTAAATCTGACGGTCACATACGGCACACGCAGGAGGGACTCGGCGTGGGGGGGGCGGACAGACGCCGGCGCGTTACCACACGCGGGACACCAGCAGCAAGATAAAGGCATCATTAGTCGTACACGACGCGTGACAAGCATCAGCAGGTGCTCGCCACCGTGCGCCGCCCCGCTTGCCTTTAGCGGACCGCTGGTGCGGCCACCGCCACACGCCGCGCAGCGGCCTCTCACAATACGTCCCGTAACAATAACATTATCTAGTCTAATTGTGCGCGCGAGAGCACTCAGCGAGTGCGCAAGCATAAAGATGCGACACTGCGTGTAGGAACGTGCGCGCAAATAGACGGGCGTTATAGAGAGACGCACGCGCTGCGGTGCTCCTGTGTTTAAGGGGGAGAGCCTTTATGTTTACCTACAGCTAGATGGTGGTTATTAGATGCTTACATAGAGACACACAGAGCACGTGTTCGGTATGCGCCGATTTTCCGGAATGCTGCACAAAATTAGGCGAGTTGATCGCGGTGTATTGTGATTAGAGCGGAGTTTTGTCTCATGCGGACAATGCTCGTGGCTTGCTCAGCGTCCCAGGGCGTGTGTACGCGCGTGCGTGTGTGCGTAAGAGCGCATGTGTGTGTTTAAATGTACGTGTGTGTGCGCCAGGGGAGGGGGGTCTGCTCATAAAAGGTTGGCAGACTCCAGATGTGTGTGTGTGTGTGTGCGTGCGTGCGTGCGTGCGTGTGTGCGTGCGTGTGCGTGCGTGTGTGTGTGTTCGTGCGTTCTCTCTCCCGCCGTCTGGCCTGTATGCATGTATAACTGCGGGCACGAACGAGCGTGCGGCGGTGGTGGTGCATGGTGGTGGTGGTTGGTGGGTGGTGCGCTAGCGCGCGCGCGCGTGTGTGTGTGCGTGCGTGCGTCACATTGCTCATTGTGATGTTTCGGGCTTAATCGCGCATTTTGCTACACCGCCGCTGTAATTGTCAAATTGCGTATACAACCAATATATCGCGGGATAACTTAGCACGCTTTGAAGCGGGCCTGGCCCACCTCAATTTGGGATGCTAACTTAGTCCGAACTAGCGCGGGATAGAATGTATACACACCTCAAACTGTAGGATCAAATTTGCGCGTGTTTGTATGTTCATGCGTGAGTACATACGTGCGTGCGTGCGTGCGTGCGTGCGTGTGTGTGTGTGTGTGTGTGTGTTGTGAGTATGTGCTGCGTGCGTACGTTCGTGCGTTCGCGTGTGACTGTGTGTGCCCGCGTGCGTACGACCGTGCGCGTGTGTGTGAGAATGTGCGTGCGCATGTTGTGATAATGATTATGTACGTGCGTTCGCGCGTTCTTTCGGCCATCCGTGTGTTTTTATTTTTATTTTGTATTTCATGCGTATAAGATTTGATTGGAGCTATGCCTTGTGTATGCGCACGCATTTAACATTTACTATATTTTTCTCACGGAATTCAACGCTTAGCTGGACAGTAATAATTCTTTTGCATAAAATAAAATTTAAAATTCCATATAGCTTCGCTATGTTTCCAACATAAAATGAGCATGCATTCTCATGTTTGTCTCTCGTATTTCTATTATGGTAATCGACATCGTTATCAGATCTATCCAAGCCGAATTCGTCTATTTGCGTTAACCATCATCATCTACCTGTGTCCTGCTTTATCTAGCATTTGATATAATTATAGTGCGATGCATCTACGCACGTAGTACGCATGCAAACACGAACCCAAGTTCGTTATCATATCGTCTATTACAGTATTTGGGAACCGATATGTGAAGGACATACTAGTAACTAGCCGAGGGGTATTAACTAGCCGAGACAGTGATGATTCGTACGTGTGTTACCTGTAGTCTGCTACCTGCGCGTGTGTCATATGCTGAATTTCTATTAAAGGAATAATAGGTCCATTGATTATGCAATGTTGACGAATGCTAGAGTTACTGGCACCTTGTGTAGTTAAAGGAATAATATGGCCATTGATTATGCAATGTTGACGAATGCTAGAGTAACTGGCACCTTGTGTAGTTAATAAGTGCATTACGTTATAGCCAAACGCGTATTAGTTTGTCCAATATCACTGCTGGTTACATTACAAACAAGACTTGAAATCGGTTGTTGATATGTATCAACGTATCATTTACGTGCCGTAAATGTCATCCAGGAGTCAAGCGATGACGTAAACATTTGTGCGGCCCGTGTGTTTTGGACGCCAGATGAAATGGAGGTGTCAGCGGTGTAACCACGGCCACGGACTAAACATGGAAATAGAGTAAAACACACGTACTAATCACGGACGCACGTGGACAGCCTTGACAAAAAGTTCCTTATCACGAGCGTCCATGTTTACGAAATCACTGATGATAGCATTGCGTACGGCCGAGCATGCGTGCGAAAATGTCCGGTGCTCTATAAATCTGTATCACACCCGCTTCGCCGGCAGCGGTTTGAACCTGTAAACAACTGATTTTTGGACTGCAGATTTCAATTAGACATTTCTTAGTAACCAGCAGTGATATTGGACAAACTAATACGCGTTTGGCTATAATTGGTAATGTACTTATTAACTACACAAGGTGCCAGTAAGTTACTCTAGCATTCGTCAACATTGCATAATCAATGGACCTATTATTCCTTTAAGTTTTTTATGAGTCCGTGGAATTCTTCTAAACATGCCATGTTCGATTGGTTCAATGGCTGACGAACAGAGCAGACAGAATCACTACTGGTGGATGCTATGGTGGATGGCATATGCATGGCACCGCTGAGTCGACTGCAGCGCCACTCGTTTTCCGTTTGACGGTACGAAAAACGAAAAACGAATTCGTATTTCCTTTACCGTTTATCGTTGTTGTGCGAGAAAAACGGACAACGAATTCGTTTATCGCTTACCGTTTTTCGTGTTTTGTTTTGAAGTAAGAAAAACGAAAAGACGGTATATACACGGACCAATTTCGTTATCATAGCGTCTTACAGTATTTGGGAGCCGATATGTGAAGGGCACTGCAGTT